GCAAATAATTTCTTTGCCTCATGAGCCAGGATGCTGAGTAAATGGGAGAGATGTGCAGAGTGTTTTGGCTTTTCCATTTGATTTTTCCAGAATCCTAATTAAGTAGATTGCAGATTCCATATAAATGGATTATTCTGCAATTGGTTGCCAAAATATCTGCACCTGGATCCAAATGGTAACCAATGGTTCTTGTAGACCAAGCTTCCAATTGGGATCGATCATTTTCTGTGAGCCTAAAGAAATTTATTTTTAATCTTGTTTATGGACTCTAACATACCCTGCCAATATGCATTTATGGAAGTACTTTTAAAATGTATTTATTTTCAAGTCTTTCGTCTGAAGCAGCTGCTTATTAAAATAAGTAGGGAAAGTGTTATATACGTTTTACTGTCCTTTTGATTCTAGTCTTTTGGGATTTTGAGAGCCAATGTGTTTTAATAGCTTGTCTTAGGGGAAGAAAATTAAAATTCTAAAGGAATTTAAATGAGCAGAATTGATGCTTATCCAAAACTTAAGAGCAGCTACTAAAAGTTCAGATTGCAATCCTATTTTAATACACCTCTGGCCTTTATTATCCATCATTCATCACATGAAGAAAGAGCCTTGAATATCTTTCCTCCTCAGTCTTTACTCCTTGCTTTATGAAGAAAAGTGGGGTTGCAAAAAGACTTTCGATCTCTTGAGAGAGGAAGCTGATAAAATTGCATTAAAGAATCTAGCTCAAGAAGGGCAGGTTTTCAACACCATCTAAATGGTACCTATGATTTTACATATGCAGCTTTTCCTCAAAAGCTTAGACAGATTAGACATTTCAGGTCACAATTGAGAGTCAGATCATCTAACATTGGCAGGTATTATCTCACCTTTCATTCCGTGGCCACATAAATCATCTGATTTTGATCATTAGAAATGCTGTGTAAGAGGAATGCTGAAAAAGGTCTTGCTACCAACTCTGCTTCTGATAAACTATAACCCTGGGCAAGTAACCTGGTGTATCTTGCTTCAGAGTCCCATTCAATATGAAATGGGTATAAACATATACCCATTATATGACCTAGAATGTTTTAAAATGAAGAAATACAATGTAAAAAAAGCTATTTAAGCTTTGTATAACAATATGGTAATTTAAACCTAGATTTTGTTAATAATTATTTACAAATATTTTCTTCCTTTTGAGAATGCATTCATTTGGCTTTATTGTTTAGGTCAAACATCCTTTAGCCTGTTTTTGTTTTTTTAACTTTTATTTTAAGTTCAGGGTACATGTGCAGGTTTGTTAAATAGCTATATGTGTGTCATGGGGGTTTGTTTTAAAGATTATTTCATTACCCAGGTATTAAGCCAAGTACCCATTAGTTGCTTTTATGATACTCTACCTCCTCCCACTCTCCACCCTCTAATAGGCCCCAATGTGTGTTGTTCCCCTGTATATATCCATGTGATCTCATCATTTAGCTCCCATTCATAAGTGAGAACATGCATTAATTAGTTTTCTGTTCCTGCATTACTTTGCTAAGGATATTGACCTCCAGTTCCATCCATGTCTCTAAAAACGACATGATCTCATTCCTTTTCTGGCTGCATAGTATTCCATGGTAAATATATGCCACCTTTTCTTTATCCAGTCTATCACTGATAGGCAGTAAAATTGATTCCATGTTTTTGCTATTGTGAATAGTGCTACAATGAATATACATGTACATGTATCTTTATAATAGGATAATTTATATTCTGTTGGGTATATACCCAATAATGAGATTGCTGGGCCAACTGGTTTTTCTGTCTCTAGGTCTTTGAGGAATCACCACACTGTCTTCCACAGTGGTTGAATTAATTTACACTCCCACCAACAGTGTATAAGTGTTCCTATTTCTCTGCAACCTCACCAGCATCTGTTATTTTTTGACATTTTATAAATAGCCATTCTGACTGGTGTGAGATAGTATCTCATTGTGATTTCGATTTGTGTTTCTCTAATGATCATTGATGTTGAGCTTTTTTTCCCATATGATTATTGGCTACATATATGTCTTTTTTTTGAAAAGTGTCTGTTCATGTCTTGAGTCCACTTTTTAATGGGGCTGTTTATTTTTTTAATATATTTGTTAATTTCCTTATAGATACTTGATATTAGACCTTTGTCAGATGCATAGTTTGTAAAAATTTCCTTCTATTCTCTAGGTTGTTTACTCTGTTAATAGTCTCTTTTGCTATGCAGAAGCTCTCTAGTTTAGTTAGATTCGATTTGTCAATTTTTGTCTTTGTTGCAATTGCTTTTGGTGTCTTTGTCATGAAATCTTTTCCCATGCCTGTGTCCTGAATATGATTGCCTATGTTGTCTTCTAGAGTTTTACAGTCCTGGGTTTTACATTTAAGATTTAATCCATCTTGAGTTAATTTTTGTATATTGCATAAGGAAGAGGTCCAGTTTCAATTTACTGCTTATGACCAGCCAATTATCCAGCATTATTTATTGAATGGGAAATACCTTTCCCATTGCTTCTTTTTGTCAGGGTTGTCGAAGATCAGATCGTTGTAAATGTGCAGTCTTATTTCTGGATTCTCTATTCTGATTCATAGGTCTATGTGTCTGTTTTTGTACCAGTACTACTCTGTTTTGGTTACAATAGCCAGGTAGTATAGTTTGAAGCTGGGTGACAGGATGCCTCCAGCCTTGTTCTTTTTGCTTAGGTTTGCCTTGGCTATTCAGACTCTATTTTGGTTTCATGTAAATTTTAAAATAGTTTTTTTCTACTTCTGTGAAAAATCTCAATGGTGGTTCAATAGGAATAACATTGAATATATAAATTACTTTGAGTAGTGTAGCTGTTTAAACAATACTGAGTCTTCTTATCCATGAGCATAGAATGTTTTTCCATTGTTTATGTCATCTCTATTTTCTTTAGTAGTGGTTATGGTTCTCCTTGTAGAGATCTTTCACCTCCCTGGTTAGCTGTATTCCCTAGGCATTTATTCTTTCTGTGGCAGTTGTGAATGGGAGTTTGTTCCTGATTGTTTTTAGTATAGTAATGCTAGTGACTTTTGCACATTGATTTTGTATCCTGAAACTTTGCTGAAGTTATCAGCTTAAGCAGCTTTTGGGCTGAGACTGTGGGGTTCTCTGGATATAGGGTCGTGTTGTCTGCAAACAGGGATAGTTTGACTTCCTCTCTTCCTATTTGGATGCACTTTGTTTTTTTCTCTTGCCTGATTGCCCTGGCCAGAACTTCCAATACTATGTTGAATAGGAGTGGCGAGAGAGAGCATACCTGTCTTGTGCAGGTAATCAAGGGGAATGCTTCCCTTGAAGCATTTGATGTTGGCTGTGGGTTTGTTATATATGGCTCTTGCTATTTTGAGGTATGTTCCTTCAATACCTAGTTTGTTGAGAGTTTTTAACATGCATCGATGTTGAATTTTATCCAAAGCCTTTTCTACATCTATTGAGATAATCTTGTGTTTTTGTCTTTAGTTTTGCTTATGTGATGAATCACATTTATTGATTTGCATGTGTTGAACCAATCTTGCATCCCAGGGATAAAACCTGCTTGATCATCTTGGATTAGCTTTTTGATATCCATCAGCCTTTTAATTCCCTTCTGATCTGTAATAAAACAGAGAGAATAAGAAAACAGATAATATGCACAGGTACTTGCTTTACTGCTGAAATAGAGAAACTCAGGCAATAGCTAGCTTTAGCTTAATAGTTTTACAATCGACAGTCTTGAAAGATCAGAGTGAATTCCAAAATTGGCCAAAGGTAGGGCTCAAGCTAAATATTTTCTCTCTTTTAGTTTGTTTTTCTTATTTTTTTTTTTCCATTTGTCTGCTCTCATTCATTTTTCGTCATGAAATGGCCTCTTTTCTAACTTCCTTTATTCACAGCAAATATTTCTGAGTTCCTGTTAAGAGCTACACTGGGGAAATTTTTGGGAAAAATAGTAGCAAGATAAGCTTCTTCTGTTCCTCCCTTATGGATTTCATATTCTAATGTCAGCTATCAAAACCTGTGTGTTTCTTCTTAAACGTTTAGATAGGCAGGACTTAAAGCATGCAAACTAAAAAGGCAAGCTAGTGGCTTAGAGGGATGGGAGTAGGGACCAAATAGTAACTAGCAATTCAGATGTTAAATAAACTATGTGATCTTAAACAAACAAACAAATAAAAACCCTGATGTGTTGTTTTATAATATTTTTATAGATTAGGAATATGCTCTATTAGTTTATTTTATAATACATAAAGCTTCACAAAATAGGAAAAAGGCTTATCTGATAAAAATGTTATACCTATAGAATACTTTTTAAATTCTGTGTTTTAATTTTCAGACACATGCAATTTAAAAAAAGGAACGAAACATTTCCAAGAGGAAGTTTGGGTTAATAAGTTAGGTTCTTCTTCAAGTGCCATTTTAAACCTATAAATGATGCCAAATTGTGTGAAAATAATTGTAAAAATTAGATTAAATATTCATCTCCATTAGTTTTATATTATTTATTTAGTGCTTTCTCTTGTTTTCACACATTTTGCAAAGATATCCTTTCTCATACACTGTCAAAATTTAGGTAAGTAACAAATTAGTTAATTCTTAATTAGTAAAGCTTCTATTTGGGAGATTTTCCTGTACATTCTGAAGCTAGTGATCAACTTATTCAATTATTAACAGCCTTTGTTCCGCAAGGCAAAATATATTGAGTACTTGTAGTATCACGGAAGTATTATTTTTTTTTTCAAACCTGAAACAAATTTTAATCCCATCTTCTTAAATATCCCTCATCATTTCTTATCAGATTAGAGCACAGCAGATGTGTCCAAATCTTTTTTTTTATCTAGGTGAAAAGTAAACACATTTATAATAAATAAAAATCATTGTTCCCTTATGTTTTCATTAAGGATCTTTTTTTAAAACTGTTTAGCCCTGCTTTTAAAAATACCTAATTATGCATTTAAGGTTTTATTCTATTTTACTTTTATAGTATAAAATAATTGTCTTTTGCTTACAGCTAATATCTCAATATCTAATGACACCTCACTGGCCCCAGACCATTGGCCAACTGTTTCTTCTACTGACATGGTAAGTGATTTACTATTTTAAATTACCTTCATACTGACTGTGTCTTGTATACCTGTTCATAATATTCATAATATATGATGTCTTCTATCATTCAGCAATTCTGGCATGAACACAAATGGAATAATCATTGACAGTGGAGGGACAGGAAGAAAAAAGCCACTTTCCTTTGCTCTTGCAGCACTTTTTTTTTTTTTTTTTTGCCTTGAAACAAAAAACTGAAGCCAGTATTTACTTCTATAACATGCTTTTAAAAACTTCTTAGGAATTCAGCTGCCACATCACATTAATTGTAACCTCGAAATATTTTCACAAGGGAAAATGTGAGAAGTTGGAAAATGGGAGCACAGTATCCTCTCTCTGTTTCTCATATGGTTAAGAATTCTCACTAACCAAATGGTGCTGTGTTTTCTTCACTAAGAGTGATTGTAGCAGGACCTTTCCCCTGTCACTTAGAAAGGACTGTGCCTCTGTCACATGATATCCTTTCCCATGGCTTGTAACCAAGGATCTTTAGGAGACTGGAACTAAGCTTTAAAAATGAGCTGTTTTGCATGGAAGGTCACACACTGGAAGGAGGCTTTTGTGTTGGAGAAAAAGGGGAAAGTGCTGTTTCAGACTTACAATTGTGCTCCTTCTATGCTGAATATGGAATCTTACCAAAGAATATCAATCTTTCAGTTATAAAGACAGAAGCCATAATACCTTGTATTGATAGAGTGCCCATCTCTCTGGAGACCCAAACATTTCTACAGATATTATGCAGTGAGTGCCCTAACATCCCTTTCAAAGATGATGTTTTCTATCTTTCCTGGGCAACTTTCATGTGACCTTCCTTTTCATTTTTATATTCTAGGACTCTCTTGACTACTTTTTTTGCTGTTAAAGCTTTCTCTGACTTTCCTCAAACCTTACCTCTCTATTTCTTTCATGTTTGATACTGTGTGTGTGAAAACATATTTGTAAATGTTTTACCACATGCATACAGAAAGGAGTTCAATTTCAGTCTTTCAGCTGATTACTGCCTGAAAAGTCTTGCCTAAGTACAGGAAAAACTACTTCCTTCTAGATTTGAAAAAGTTTTATTCAAATTCTTATAGTAAAAATATAATTAATAAACCATGATTTAATAGTATATATTTTATTAAAATATTGTTAATAAAATATAATTTATTAACTATAAAATATAGTTAATAAAATATAAAATATAAAAAATAAGTTGATTTTCAATAAATATTAATAAAACATCACTTCTGCTAACTTAAATAAAGATTAATTTCTAACAATTCTTTTTGTAACTAATCAAGGAAAGCATTAAAATCAATGAACTTTTAAGTCCCACCTTTGGGCAAGTCCTGGAAGAGACTTCAGTAATTGATATGTATTAAAACAAGATGTCAATCAAGTTCATGGGAAAAAAATGGACGTTCTGATTGACTTGTAGCATGACTATGATAAAAACACAGAGGCATCATATCTAAGTATAGAGCACCTACTGGAGACCACATGTGTTATACATATTTTCATCATTATAGACTTTAATATGTACAATAACTATGAATACAAACTACTAGGGTTAATTATTTCTATTTTATACATGAGAGAAACTGAAGCTCCAGAGGTTTAATAACCTTCTTGTTTTAGCCATATATTAGTAGAACAAAGATTTGAACTGAAGTCTGGGTGGTTCCCAGACTGGTGCCATTCCTAGTGTACCATGATGCTTCAGTGTATACAAGTGAAAATGTTTACCCTTTCGATTCCTACAGATGCGCTATATTCCAGGGCAGCAAGCCCCTCATGTGTGCATCAATTGCATACCTTAATTAAAATGTAAGGTGTTATGTTCAGCACCTCTAGGGAAATAAGTTAGGGGGAAAAAATGTGTGTGTGTGTGTGTGTGTGTGTGTGTGTGTGTGTGGTCATGAAGGACAACTTTTAACCTTCATTTCTCCTTTTTCATTTATGTCAGTAACCATGTGTATACATTGTATATACACACACATATGTGCACACACATACAGTATAGGTAAATGACTCAAATGAGTTTTAAGAGGGAATATGATTTGTTATCATCAATAATAATTATCAATTATTGAGCATCTACTAGGGTACAGACTCTTCACAGTAATTGTCTGTAATTCTCACAACCACTTTATAAGTTATTAGATGTTACCTCTATTTTATAGATAAAACAGAGACTTAGAAATGTTAGCTGACATTCCAAAGGCCATGTTGCAAGTATATGATAAAATGGGGATTTGAACTCAGGGTTTTCTGGCTCTAGAGTCTGCGTTATTTCTATTCTTTCAGGAAGCAGCATAGTGCTTCATGTAGAAGAACTTACAGACCGTGAGTTCTTGTGCCATACTGCCTGGTTTCAAATGCAGGGCTCTACTACTTAGCAGGCTGTGGAACCTTCTCAACCCATCTGCAACACTGGGATAGTCATAGTCATGATCTCAAAGGTACTATAAGTGCAACTTAATAGATAGGCAGGACTTAGCATAGTGGATAGCATATAGTCATCTCTCAGTCAGTGTTAGGTATTGTTACTGTTCTTTCTAGATATTAGCATTTGATTAGGTCATGCGCCTGCATAACTCAGAAGCTTAATGGAGGAGAGGACATTGGGAACCCCCCTTCTGAGAGGCTACTGAGTCCTCTGTCTGCTTGGTCATGCAAGCTGGCTCTATTATCCTGAACCTTTCCTAGGACACATGGTCATCAAGACTTCAGGCATAATTAGATTGTGAGAGAAGGTACAGGAAAAGTGACATAAAGCCCCGGAGCCAGGAAGGCTTGCTCTCACAGGCCTGAGTACGTCCTGTCAGACAAAGGAAGGTCTTTTCCCTTCGGCTTCACTAGCATGAAGACAAGCTTGCTTTTTCATGGTGGTAGGGATGTGTTTTGGGGGAAAGAGCAGGCAGAGAGGGATATTAAGCATCTAAACAGAGATTAGAACTCTAGGATAACTATATCTCAAGATAAAAAGGCACATTTTAAAATTACCGTTTGTTATTGGAATGGTGTCTTTATTTCTTCTTACTTTCTCTAATTTTTCTATAGATTTCTTGCTTGGTATGTTCCTTCAACTTGCAAACCAAATTTCTTAAAAGATTCCTGTAAACCTCTAAGACTAGCCACAGCTTGCTCACACTGTATCTGGATAATGAGCATTAATACCTATTGGCTTCCAGTTTCCAACTCTCAGAGTGTGAGACACCAGATTTCAAAATCAAATGTCAGTTTCTTCTGAGGAAGTAATTGAAAAGATCAGTTGGTATTTTGTTTTTCACATCAGAGTCATTTTTTTAAAAATTGAGACATACTTTAAAACACATAGTTCTGAAGTATTCATTGAAATGAGTTTCGATGGTTGTATACTCCAGGTAACCACCAAACAAGATATAGAACATTTCCATCATCCCAGAAGGTCCCATGGAATGCTGTATTTTGTTTGATACCCCAGGTTTCTCCTTGGGGGATCTTTCTTTGCCCAAATACTCTGCCCCTTCCCTTCAGAGGGCAGATACCTGAGCTCTTTATGGTGAGTTTTTAAAAACTCACTTAATGGTGAGTTTTTTAAAACTATGATTTTAAATAGGGTATCTAGCTTTCTTTGGTTGTTAGGATGGGAGTGATGGCCTCTTACAACTTTCTTTAATCTTAATCACAAGCAGAACAACCAATTCATCTTGACATTTGATAATGGTACAGACAACTATAACTCAAATGCATGCTGTAGATAAGGTAAGGCTTGAGATTACTGCAAATCTGGCTCACCACTAGGAGGGAGGAACTCTAAAAAAAGTATATCAACAACTTAACCTTAAGACTTTTATTAGTGGTGTCACTCTCATTTGTATTTTTAAAAGCATATATTTTACCAGTCGATACTCAAAGAGGGTACAGCAGGTCCTCAAATAACACTGTTTCATTATAATGTTGATGAAAAAAAGACATTGATTCTCAGGCTGCTGCTTGTGTGGAGTTTGTATGTTCTCATGTCTGGATGGGTTTTCACTAGGTACTCTGAGTTCCTTCCACATCCAAAATACATGCATATTAGCTTCATTGCCATGTTTTAATTTCCCAGTCAGACTGAGTGTGGGTATGTGTGTGCATGTACCCTGAGATAAGATGGTGTCCTGTCTAGGGATAGTTCCTGCCTGGTATCCTGAGCGGCTGGGATAGGCTTTGGCCACTCACAACCCTGAACTGGAATGATAATTATTATCTTACTTGTTTTATTAATCTTTCTTAAATGTATGTATAGCTTACATTTATTTTAACATTTAATATTAGAAATTGTTTTGGTCTTTATTTAGAAGTTTGGTGATGTTTTTGTGACCAGGAGTATGCCCTAGGGACTTAATTCTTGTTTATAGTGATTAGTCTATGGTAAAATTGGTGCAGTTATACATCATTTTACTTAAAGTTGCAGTTTCCGTTAACCTATTGATGACATTAAGTGACGATCTACTGTAATACAGAACCATTATTATTTTTATTATTATTACTTATTATATTATCCAGAGATGCTGTTAATCATGGGACTAAGAACCTTAATGATGATTCTAGGAAATACATTCATTTTCATGGGAAATGGAATGTCATATTAATCTTGTGCAAAGCATTCTTGTGATTTTCTCCCACTGAGGTAGTCAAGTGTAAAAACCATTCTGTCCTTAAACCTCCTTGAAGATTACACGTTCTTACTTTTAAAAGTAATACAGAAAATTTTAAATATGCACTAAAAGAGAATAGTGCAATGAAGCCCCATATATGCATCACCTAGCCTCAATGGCTTTGAAAATTTTGTCCATCCCGTCTCATACATCCCCCACTTTTTCCTTTAGGTAAGATACTATGGTCTTTTAAATTTTAAAATGAATCCTGTGGTATGCATTCTACTTTTAAGAATTGCAAGCAGGTCCACTCAGTATAACAGGGTAATTCTCTTGAAAAAGGTATCTCAAAAATAGATTGAAATCTCTTTT